CTAATCTGAACACAGCTTTGCTTGACAAATTACGTTTCGATTGATGGGATTTGTAAATGCTGCCTAAAAATGTATCTCTTGAGTGAATCAACTTATAATTGAGAAAGATATAGAACTCAATTTTCCTTTTGATCTGTAATTTTCAATGGTTTATAATAAGTATGATTTCTTCTACATGAAGTAATAAGTTGATTTTCTATGGTTAATCAACTTTCTATGGTCAATCAACTTAGATTTAAATACAGTCTCTTTAAAAATAATTATCTCAAAGTTAGACAATTTGGTGTTCTCTATTTTCTTGTTCCCTAATGTTCCAAATATCATTATGGAGAATATCTATGTGGTTGCTAAAATCAACAATGACTTGATGGCACATGCTGAAATCAAAATACACCAGCCTACCCTGGTACAGTTTTTCTAGCCTTCAGCAAGCTACATCTTAATCCTAACTATATTTGTATAGAATGTAAGCCAAAGTTTTACCTAGGATTTGTGAAACAAGCCATGATGATTTGGGCTAATGACATGCAAATTCACACATTTCACTGACTTTTAAAGAAACTACGGTGTAATTTAGCAATATGGGTAAATAAGGTGACTCATTTCTGAATTTAAGAGATGTTTTAAAATGGCAATAGGATAAAAATCTCCTTGGACTGAAGTTGATTTGTTGTGAGGTACTCTTGATAGCACTATAGAAGCGGTTTGCTCTTGCCATCTACAGGATTGTATTTTTGACTTGCATTCTAATCTACTCTGGTATTTCCAAGTACTAACAGGCCTGACTCTACATACAGTAGGTTCCCAGTCTCAGCAAGGTTAACACAATGCTGCCATCTGCAGGAACAGAATGGCAATGCAGTTAAACATAATTCTTTAGATCTAGATCAGTGATGGTGAACCTTTTAGAGACCGAGTGCCCAAACTGCAATCCAAAACCCACTTATTTGTCACTGGGTGCCAGGTGGGTGTGGCCCACTGGGTGGGCGTGACTGTGATGGTCATGGCAGACTGGGTGGGTGTGGCCAAGGTGGGCGTGATCACCTCGATGTTGCTCGTGGGGAGGGACGCATGTGGGGACAGGGGGTCTCTGGCAGGTGGGGCAGTGGGCAGGAGGCTCATCCTGCGGGGTGAGGTGAGGCGAGGCAAGGCGAGGCAGAGCAGGGGTGCCATTGTCGCAGGGCAAGGTGAGGCAGGGGCCATCGGCCCCCACACACAGAGGCCAGCGAGCGCATGGGTCCTGGGATGCATCAGGCCACATGGGACCTCGGCGAATTAGCGGGCGGCTGGTTGAAGAGGGACGGGGCATGGCATGCATGCCCACAGAGAGGGCTCTGAGTGCCGCCTCTGGCACGCGTGCCATAGGTTCACCACCACTGATCTAGGACACTTCTTCAGACACTACTCAAATATAAAAAATCTGGCAGTATACTACAATTTTTCAAGATAATGATTACACTGCAGTGGTTAGAATGTTGCATTTGAATAGTGGAAGACTACATTTGAATTCCTGCTTAGTCATGAAAGCTCACTGAGGGCACGAAGCTACAATAACTATAACTCTCAAAACATCCCATAGAGCAGGGGTCCCTAACTCCCGGTTTGTGGACCGGCACTGGTCCTTGGAATGCCAGAAACTGGGCCGTGCAAACAAGCAAAGCTCCATCTGTGGGATGCAGGCAGCACCCGAACCCAGACCCACGCCCTCTCTGGTCTGCAGAAAAACCTCTCTTCACGGAACCAATCCCTGGTTGGGGGCCACTGCCATAGAGTTTATCAAGGCTTTTTTTATTTAAAAAATAAAAGTAAAAATAAATAAAATAATAATAATAAAGAACTGAAATTGTATTTTCCAACTTGTTGCTGATGGTTGGCAATTGGCATGTATTTATGATGGTTACAATGTCAAGGGGTCCTGTGTTCACCTTTTGCAAACTTCTGACAAGCAAAGTCAATGGGGAAGCCAGATTCACTTAACAACCATGTTACTATCTTAACAACAATAGTGATTCATTAACAATTGTTGCAAAAAAGATAAAAAATGGGGCAAAACTCACTTAACAACTGTCTTGCTTAGCAACAGAAATTTCGGGTTCAGTTGTGGTTGTAAACTGAGGACCACCTGTAATTGTATAAATGTACTGACATCAGTAAAGTCTCACATGTACATATATTCTTTTTTCTGCCAGACAGCTCTGCAATTTTGCTGTGGCTTCAGGGTAGAGATAGTGTTCAGACAGAGTACCATAGATCTGCTGGTGCATGGAACAGAAATTATAAATGATACTGACAATTTCCCCTCTTTCTTCCTGCTTTCATCTTTGGGCAACCTTCCCTTGATGGCAGGCATGCTGCCTGATCCGAAGAATGTGCATATCATAGTCAGCTGGATGATAGCCCAGAGTGTAACTGCAGTGGCAGGTCTGACATCGTACCCTTTTGACACCGTCCGACGTAGAATGATGATGCAGTCTGGTAGAAGAGGAGGTAAGAAAATAACCAATTCCCTCATCTCTCAGCATTTTCGCATTTCAGATAGTAAAACTGGACTTGATATCATTTGACACAAAGCTCAATTATTTATCTAATCTGAAGAGTCTGTTCCTAGCAGGTTAGTGAGTCTTGCACATTGACCTCAGCTACAACCTTGACTTAGTGACTGTTCAAAAATACGATGGACCGCCACAAATGTACATATGACCCAGTTCTGATGGCTGCCGAACCCCGCTCCCCCGGTTATGTGACTATATTTTGGGCGTTCAGCACCTGGCCCACATTTATGGCCATTTAGTGTCCCTTGATCACATGAGCAGGGGCTGCCACAAAGAGGGGGCAACTTATTCTCCAAAGCACAAGAAGGCAGGACAAGAAGCAATGAATGGAAACTAATTAAGGAGAGAAGCAGCCTAGAACTAAGGAGAGATTTCCTGACAGAACAATTAATCAGTGGAACAACTTACCTCCAGAAATTGTGAATCTCCAACACTGGAAGTTTTTAAGAAGAGATTGGACAAACATTTGTATGAAATGGTATAGGGCTTTCCTGCCTTAGAAGGGTTGGACTAGAAGACCTCCAAGGTCCCTTCCAACTCTGTTATGTTAGCCTGTTATTTGTGACATTTTTGTCAGCATTTACTTCTGGGTTTTTTTGGCAAAAATGCCACATAGCGAACAGGACCGCTGGGGTTTGATTTAGCTTCCCAGCTACCTTTAGCTCCCCATCTTCAGGAGCATATAGTTACCAATTTAATGCTAAGAAAGCTTCAGTTTAATTTCTGCTTTTTTATTTGGAATATATTTAGCAGTGAACACAAACATTATTGCAGAAATACAGTTTGCAAAATTTGAAAAATGTTATATTTATTTGCTTTTGTTCTGTTACAATATTGCCTTCAGATCAATTCAGTTCTTAAACACAGAGAGATGAAATCATCTCTTGAGCTTCAAGGTTAAGAGAAAAAATGCAATTTTATTTTATAAACTTTTGAAGAAAGAACTAGAGAACAACTTTCCAATTATGCTTTATTTGTTGGAATTAGAGGAATGATTGTGTTATACTGATCTATTTCTCTCTTTCCAATGATTTACCTGAATATGTTTACTTCCACAGCTGACATCATGTACAAGGGCACAATTGACTGCTGGAAGAAGATTGCTAAAGATGAAGGAGGCAAGGCTTTCTTCAAAGGTGCCTGGTCCAATGTGCTAAGAGGCATGGGAGGTGCTTTTGTGTTAGTCTTGTATGATGAGATCAAGAAATATGTCTAAGCAAGTCAAACTACTTGCCTCTTACGTTCTGTTTAGTTACATATTTACACGTGAGTTAAAAGGCAACTAAATATTTCCTACGGAAACAGAGGTGACTACTGTGGGTCAAATCCAGTTGAGAGGTCAAATTGTGGAACTATAAGATTGCTTGGTGATGGTTTATAACATAAGTCAAACTTTTTTGTATGGAAAGTTGAAGAGGTCTTTGTATATATACATTTATTTGACAAATATCAATAATATATTCCTATGAATAAAAATATTTCCCGAGGAGGTATGTTGATAACTATTTAAACAACTGGAAAAGTGAATTTAATATTAATTAAAACTTTTTTTCTGTGTGACAAAGCCACTGCAGAAGTTCTTTCAAGATTGTAGCTTCCAGCTGCTAGTGAAGAATGTTTTCAGAGATGAGTGTGTGTGTGCAAATGTGTGGTGTTAGGGTAGAAGAGAGGGGGTGGGGGATGGCAGAGAACAGGGTTCTCTTTCTCACTCTAAGCTAGCAACAAATGTACAACTATGAGGGTGATTCTGACTCATATAAGAAAAAACAGCTAAAAGCTGTGCAGCAAATAATAGCAAACCACAAGAAATGCTGTTCTTCATTTCTCCTAATTTTATCTTTAATCACTTTGTTTGCACTTTGGAAAAAATACTTATGTCAAATGTATCTCCTTTTTGTCATGTTAGGATTGCAATGCTCATGCACATTCCCAGAGGTGTCATAGTCTGGATGAGAAAATCTTATTCCCCCCCCCCCCCAGGCCTTAGTATCTCTAAAATATTCAGTAGTGATTACAATAAAGACCATACTTTTTAACTTTGGGATCATATCCTCCTGGTGGATGCTAAAAGGAAGTTTGCTGCTGAATGCATACAGGTAGTCCTCGACTTACAACAGTTCATTTAGTGACTGTTCAAAGTTAGAACGGCAAAGAAAAAAAGTGACTCATGACCATTTCCCACACTTATGACCGTTGTAGCATTCCCATGGTCACGTGATCAAAATCCAAATGCTTGGCAGTTAATTCATATTTATTATGGTTGAAATGTCCCGGTGTCATGTGATCACCTGTGACTCTCTGACAAGCAAAGTCAATGGGGAAACCTGACTCACTTAACAACCATGTTACTAACTTAACAACGGCAGTGATTCACTTAACAACTGTGGCAAGAAAGATCATAAAATGGAGAAAGGTTGGGTTCAATTGTGTTTGTAAGTCAAGGACTACCTGTATAGTCAGATACAACTCACCTTTTATTCAACTTAGTATTATGTGATCATCAATATATGGTTAACAGCATCCATTTTATTTTCTTTGTTAATTGTTGGAAAGAGCGAAAGCAGCTTGAGCTCCTGGAACATTCAGTGACAGTAGTCTGTTTGAAATCTATGCCTTGACAGATTTTGTCTCAGAATAACATACCGCATGCATTCAAAAGTGAGGATGCATTGTTCCCATGGGACTGAAATTTGGTAAAGTTGTCATCACTTCAGTGCTCCTTACACTTCCCAGAAACCCAGAGGTTGCATGATACATCCAATCAGCCAGCAACAAGGCCTGACAGGTGACCAGTGATTGGCTGCTTTGAAACTGAGGGCAAAATCTGAACTCTCTTCATGGCAGTGGGTGGTCAGGGGAGGATAAGAAAGTGACTCAGATGCCTGCAGGTGAGGTAGAGCTGGCTAGGGAGTGCCAGTGATCAATGGGTGAGCCCTCTTCCTTCCTGGAGTAAAGGAGCTCTTGGGGACATGCGGGGTTGGGAGTGAGGGTAGTTTTCCTTGCATTCTGTGGCTCCCATTGTTTCCCCTACCCCACCCCAGCAAAGTGGCAGGCAATTCGGCAGGTGAGGAGGAGGCTGCTTCATCAGGACTCTGCTGAGGGTCATGAGGGGAGAGGTAACGGCACCAGCCTATATTATATGTGAAAAGGATGACCCAATGAGTCATGGATTGTCTACTACTGTCAGCCTTTGTGATGGAATGTGTATCTGGAGAAGCAGTGGGGGAAAGTTTTGGCAATACAGAGTTTTCCCAGAGAAGTCTGGATTAAGACTCTGAGCAATCCTGAGCTGGATTGGGAGAGGGGGGAAGTTTAGGGTAGCCACATCTAGAATCTCTCAGGATATATCTAGTAGGTTAGAAGGTGATAGCTTGAGTTTGGCAAGATTCTGTCCATTAGGTGTAAGCAAATAAAGGACTGAACCCAATTGGACTTCACTGTGTCATCTCTGGCCTTGGGTCTGACAGCCCATCCAGGTAAACCAGACACAAAATACAACTAGATGAGTGAATTTTACTTTATTGTAAGGCTACATTAACAAAATCTTTCAGGTCTAAAGATACAAGTTTATTTTCTGATATTTTTTGCTCCTTTCCCCCCATTACAATCTTCTTCAACCTTATGGACTATATCTAATGAGCTTCTTGAAATAGATACCATTTTTTTGAATCATAATTGGAGGCATTCTAGGAATAGACTTCATGACATCAGTGTGTGAGAGAACTGAAATAGAGAAAGTCAATGTGCAAAAACAAGTATTAATCTCCTAATTAATGTATTTGAAAACTTTTGTCTTCCTCTAGAAATGCCTATTGTTTACACTGAGTTGCAGTATCCTTCACAGTTGGGAACTGAATAGATGTTAAATTTGATTGCATTTTCAGTTAAAAAACACAAAACAATTGTTCATGCATTTAGTACTTCCCATTTATGCCATAAATTGCAGAAGAGTGAGAATTTTTAGAAGTTATTCAGTCCTATCTAAAATCTTTTAGAAGCTGTATATGGTTCTGAAGTTGTGCATTACTTAGTAGTAGTTCACTGATAAAACACATATGGGCATATAAAATGTATTACATCCATTTCCTGATTTTTCTGATGACTGGAATATTTACTAGATATAAATTCCTTATGTTCTGAGAAGGTTGTTTTTCCACAAGTATTTAAAATATAAAGCTGGATGGTACTGCAGATAAAACGCTAAAATGAACTCTAGTACCTTATTTATGAGTGCAAATACCATAGCACCTTTTGAAAAAAACCACCGCAAAAGCGGTGTTTGAAATCATTAGGAAATATACTGAAATGACAAGCATGCTGTGGGAAATAAATGGCTTCTAGATATTGTTGTTTATATTGTTCCTATTTATAAAGAAAATCAGGCTTATCTCCATAGTTTTGCTTTTGTATTACTTCAATACTTAATTAATTGTAATTGCACTGTCTTGGTGCCTCTTCATGTAAAGCTTATGTTCATTAAAATGTTTTGTTCATGTATGTAATTTATATACAAACATGAATTTACTGATATATTGTACAGATACTTATGGACAGATAATTGAGATAGACTAGAAATCAACCTAGCCTATTACAACCTAGAAATATTAAGATAAATGCATATGTAATTCAAACAGGAAATTAACTAGAAATTATTTCTTAAATCAATGAATGATGGGAAATCCAAATAATATTCTGGAGCAGACAACTATTACAAGTATAATTAAAAGCAGAATGTGATTTTTAAAACCTACTTACAATATTTGGCTCAAATTACAGGAAAAAATGCACGCTGAAGTGGTTCAATCAAATATTTTACTTAATTTTTAAAGGACAGATGTACAATTTTCATACCTTCATAACTAATCACATTTTGTAGTTTTTGTCAAAGAAAAATATGCTTATGGAAAGATTCCAAAGTGCCAAGATTTAAGAAGTGCACCCACAAGATTTCTGTTCATTTTTACTTCAAGAAACAAAATTTTAGAGAATTTAATAAATATAATTGTGCAAATACATCACAGACCAAAACTGTCAACACATTACAGTACAAGATCTTTAGAGTTCTAGATAATAGACAATACTTTTTACCTTTATTTAGATATCTACTGCTTATCTAAAATCCACATTTTTAAAATTAAACTAAAATTGATCTGAAAAGATTCAGTTTTTGTTTTTCATGTTGTAACTGACAGCACCAAGGCCAAGTTGTATGTTATATGTTCTCTCCATCTAATATTTCTATTAGATCTTGTAAATTATGAAATTAAAAGTTTGCAATAACAAAGTTACATTAAAATTCATGGTAATTCAAAATTTAAGACTAAACACAAATTTTCAAACCTAAATTTCATTTGACTTTGAGAAAATAAGGTTTGCAATATTGTCACTTTTTAATACAAGTATTGTTTTAAGAAATACTGACTATAAAGATACTGTCCAACACATACTAGAAAGATGAGAAAAAAGTCAAGATTGTATCCATTTATAGTTAATACTACTTTCCAGTATCCTTTAATTATTCAATATTACAATAGTCCTGCACAGAATTACAGTAATCCCCAAAACATCAGAGTTTAGAATTCTGATAGCGAAGTGCAAATTATTTATAACCAGGCGCCATGAATGTTACTGGGGTTCAACTGCTGCAGTGCACCATTTATCAAAAACTGGTTTTTCACTCCTTCGATTTATAGTACTGGATGTACTATGACTGGAAGTTCGGGATGTACCTCCTGTCAAAATTGTACACAAAAGAGATCATATGGAGTTTTAAGTAAACAATATAAACTTAAGCAACTTTAAATAAACAGTATACACTTTAAAACATGCAGTAGGATCAGAAATGCTCCCTGGATTTGAACACCAACAGGTGAGCTGCTGCTTATGAAAAAGGTAGCCTTGTTCAGTGGTTACTGCTGCTACTGGAGATATAGTCACTCATTTATTCTGGGCTCAGAAGATCAGCATGCATGTAGTATAGAGGGCTTGGCAATATGTAGGAGCAACTCACTTTGGGCAAGTGCTAATTGTACTGTACAATTTTTAGATTCAATCCTTAGGGAAAATGATATTGTCATCAAAATGACCTCGGTGAACATGTAGATATTAAACACACTATAAATACTAGAAAAAGTACAAAAGGAGATATACATAATTTCCTTGCATAGTGAATAGAAATTAAGGCACAGAAGATGATCAGATTTGATTTCATTACTTAAACAGTAGAAATAAAGGCCAGTGAGGGTTTTTTTTCACACTTCAATCAAACTGAACTTAGCAGATGAAGATTCTGGAATGACTTACTAGATGGACTATGATGATTCAAGGCAGACTTTCCTCGCTTCGGAGTTCCAGCAGTGCGAAAGTAGCCCATCTGCCGCTGATAGTCTGTGAGCTGTTCTGAGCGCTTCATGCCAGTTGTTGGTTTCACTGCTTCAAGTCTTTTCAAAAAAGCCTTTAATAACACACACACCCCTTGATTAACAGATAGTGCATTCCTTGATACATTATGACCCGAGATACCAGAATCTCTTAACCAAAACCAGTCCTCCACAATATCTGATGTCTTGAATTACAATTCCTTTAATTTCTCACTAGAATTATAACACTGTAGTTCAACATATCTGGAGTACACTAATTTGAAAATTATTAGGAAGCACTCTATGTAAGAATGGAGAAACAGAACAGGGCAGCTGAGAACATTCTCATTTGGTGGCTTTGCCTTTGTTCATCATCTACATAAACATTTATATAAAAGGCAAAACCTACAAACTATAAAGGGATGCTATAATGGCCTGGGACCAGAGCTTTTCCTATCGAAGTAGCCCAACAACCTTATCATACTGACTATGACAGTGTGAGCGAGGCCAAACAAGCCTCACTGGAGATGAATTTCCATGGGAAATCACAGATGAGAGGGTCCCCTTGCTCTCGTGGTCATCTAATTTCTTAGCACAGCAGCAGAAAAAGCCAAAGATGTTCTAAGGGGTTGTGAATTTTACTTTATAAAGCTGTTATATTCTATGCTAGTTACAGGCAACTAGTTTGCACTGTTATTTGGAATAAATGTTTGTTTACAAACAACTTGCTTGTTTACAAATATTTCCTTTTCTGTGTTCTAGTACTCCATTTTGTGATTTGAAGAAATGGAAACAGAAAGATTGTTGTGTATGGAGCAGGAATCTTGTGCATATCCTAGGTTATTATGTCAGAATTTGATTGTTCAAACCTAATCAGTCCTCCAACCACTTTCTCAGGAATTCAAAATGCAGACTGTTAACACGTACTATAATTATTCCATTTCAAAAGAATGGAACAAGAGAAAATGTGCATAAAGAAGTGATCTGAGAGGTTTCTTGGGGTGTTCTTTATAAGTATGTGCATGTATTCATGCATTTTTGGAATACCATGTTAAAAAGTGACTAAATGTTGTGGCTTTTGATTGCAGCCTAAAATTCTGACTATTTTAGAAAGAGTATACAGCACCAAAAATCAGAGCCAGGTAGCCAATTTCATCTGGGTAAATTCATTCCACTCTTTTCTATGTTACATTACAGATCCAATATAATTTTTTTTTCTTCATGCAAAATTACATCATGAATATTTGACCAGTTCTAGATAAAGAGCTATTACACAGAAGACGAGTTTTCATTTGCCTCAAGATCTGTTGCTATGGTTACTACAATGGTTCAGTGGTAGTGGAATGAACAGCTACAGAAATTGAAATTGACTGTTTGACTATGTTTTCAATTATTTCCACTTTATATTAAGTTGTGGGCTATAGTTGTGTGTTACTGACAACATCATGTGTGTTTGATCAATGGCTAAAATAAAATGATGGAGTGACTTAATATCATCAATCAGTTTTTTTCGTGCTTGTTAACCGAGATCACTGAATTCCTTTCTGGATAATTTTTCTTACATCTAAGGTAGATGCTCAATTGTGAAAAGAATCATGTAATTTTAGGTTCTCACACACACAAACACACACACACACACGATAGACATAAATATATGTACACATGTACACACAAATGCATATCAAGATACTTCAACAACCTTTTTGCATAGTTCAAAGATATGCAAATACTATTCCAATGAAGCTCAAACATTTATTCTTTATACTATAGAGAAATCAAAAGAGGGAGAAAACTGGGTTAAAGCCACATGTTCCATAACCCAGCACAGAGTTAAACTTGCTTAAATTTAAGTGAAATTAGTGTAGGTAATGAGAGCCAGTTTGGTATAATGGCTAAAGCATCTGACTAGAAACTAGGAGACTGTGAGTTCTAGTCCCACCTTAGAAACAAAGCCAACTGGGTGACCTTGGACTAATCACATTTTCTCAGTCCTACAAAGGAGCCTGTGGCAAATCACTTTTGAAAAGCTTTGCCAAGGAAACTGCAGGGACGTATCTAGACAACCTCCAATATTTGGACACAATTGAGCAGAAAAAAGAAAATGCAGGTAAATAATTGTACTGGGCAAGAAACTGAATAGGAAACAAGCATATTTGATGGGTTAAAAGAATTTTTCTGTCAATTGCATTAATTTTAAATAAAGAGCAAAACAAAATAGTCGTATATGACAACCTATAACCAAGGACCATCAGTTGAGGAACCACTGGAAATCTCATTGTGCTGATACAATTTGAGATAAGCAGGCATCTTCAGGTTTGGGTACCATCTCTAGTAATCCTGAAGTTCATTATGGCAGTGGTATTTCTAGTGCCTCCATATATTTTTATCCATATTTGGATACTTTCAGATAATGGATTTTTATCTCTCCCACCCACAGCAAGCACTTATAAATAGGCATCCAGCTGATAGATTTTCTTCCACTGCTAGTACAACTGAATTACAGGACAGATTTGTGATTTAATAAGATTGTACTCACTTTTCAGAGAACAAAACAATGATGTGTTAAGTCATAGTTTGCAAGCCCATGGTTTATACAATGCAATACAATTTGCTAGATGCTCATCTATCATGAGCCTCAAACTTGTGTGGATAGACTTGTCTAACATAGTAAGTCGAAGAAGTCTAGTTTTTAATTAATATTGTTAAATCCAGAACATCAACTAACCAGATTCTCTCTGTCGATCCTCTGCTGTTCCCTCTGCCTGTTGATGGCACTGTGGTACATTTTAGGTGTTGAGCCTGAAGGTTTTTTCACTGAAGCACTTTTGTTTCTGGGTTTTGCAGAATGCTTTGTCAATTCTTTTAAGAGCCTTTGGTTTTCCCGATCAATTTGTCGTACTTCATCATTTGTGAATGAGTAGTTTTTCCTTGATCCTAGAGAAGACTGATTCAAAGCCAGTTCTTGTTGATCCTTTTTCTCCAAGTTCAGAAAAGCTTTGGACACAAGTACATATTTAAGAAAGCATGTAGCATGACTAGGCTTTTAAAAGATCACTTCAAAACTATAAAACCTATTTTCAGATTTAGCCACACAAACTATCTTTCAAATAAGGACTTCTGAGGAGTTGGCCCCCAATGCTGAAGTTGGTAACAGAAGCTTATTTATTATGTTACAAAACCCTCTTAAACAGCCTTTCTCAGGTTTATAATCATCAAATGTGCCAGACAATGGCTCCCATAATTTCTAGAGAGCATGACATTTGGTGGAAATTACAGGACTTAAATTGCAAATATATTTGAAGGATTCAAGATAAAAAGGTCCAAGCATACAATATTTCTGCAGTCGTGATAAAATGGAACCCTATATAAACAAGGCAGTGCCATTTCTTTCCAATAATTACAGAGCTCAAGTGTAATGCACCACAATTTTTGCTTCCAGAAGAAACACACTGCGGTATAAACATTCCCTACAATCACCACAGTATACATTATAAGGCAGAGTCAAAATGAAGCTTATTACAAAAAGAATTAATTCATCTAATCATTCTTAAATTTGATTTGGAAATAGGCAATGTGAACACCAGCCCCAATTAGAAATATAAAGTGCATTTGTAAATAGAGCTGAATATTTATCTTACTCAGTACTAAATCAAATTATTCATATGCTATCATCCATCCCTCTTTAGCAGATTATCGGTCAACAAGGAGAACTAAAGTAGGTGCTGGCTTACATTCTCACAATTTTCAGTACGGAATGGTGAGCAGGAGATGGACTTTCCCAACATTCTGATTGCTGAAGTTTCAGGTCTATTTTTTGCATATCTAAATAAGTGTCAGGTATGCAGTCACACTTAAATAGTTCCAGATACGAAAAGAATCAGTTCATAACAGTAAGTTGTGCACAATCTTAAAATTGCCATCTATTTTTCTTTTTGAAGATTGTGACATTTCACGTTTTATTTCTAGAAATGTTAGAGATTTGAAACTTCTTGAACATGTCTTGCCTATTTTAATCTATAATCTAAGTGAATTCCTCACTCCTTCTCGGATCATTAATTGATCTGCTGTTGATATACCATAGTTAAAAAGCCTTTGGCATTGATATTTAATCTTTCAAGTCACTACTCTACTATCAAATTTATAAATCACTGATTCTGTAACATAGTTTGCAGCAAGCTGGTTACCATCTGTGTGACAGATACTTGGATAGATGACTAAGCTGTAAAATATTTGAAAATAACTTCAATGTCAGAGAGCCTGAAATTGCTGAATGTATTTAATAGAATTATTAAATTGTTGAATTTATTTTCAAAATATCACGTGAAGATGTGGTATGTACAAAAATGTTGCAGAAAGTTAAATGTAACAGTAGGAATTGTTCATAAACAGATCCTTCACCAATCTTAGTTAGAAAACAACCAAGACTTCTAGTTCACTATACTATATTGCTAAATATATTTAGGAAAGCAGAATTTTTGGAAAAGGAATAGAGAGATAAGAGTAGCATGTGTAGATGGTAGTCAGGATTCAGAAAGAAACATAAAGGATATGCCAATGCACAACAGATAACAGGGAAGAAAGTGGAAGTTAAGGTATATTTTTGCCTTCAGTAATATAGCAAAGGTGCATAAAAAGAATGCATATGGAGAACAGCACCATGAGATACATTTTATAAAATAAGACAGCAGTCAAACCATTGGTTTACAATACATCCCTTTTAACTGAATGCCATTGAAAGCAAGGGGTTTGCAAATACCTGTAGTATTTATATCAAAGACAAGTTCCAAGAACTAATATTTCCAAGGAATACACAATAAATATAAAGTTTCCAAAATAAATAAATAGTTCTCTCCACATTTATGTGGAGCTCCATATTATACAAAATTAAACTACTGGTATCAGTAAAACTATTTTAGACAATCATTTACACAATCATTTTCGAAATTTGAGAATGTAGTAAATGTTGCAAGACACATAAAATGGGCATTACAGTACTTTCAAATCAGTGATGTCTGTTAAGAGGTGGCACAATAAAAATAGCTATTCTATACGTATTTATGCCAATTATAAGCCCTTAAATGATATATATCTATAATTTTGCTTTAACAAGCATATAAGCAGTCTGTTCCTCAATGTATACCTGCAAACTATACGAATTTGGATTAAATCTGTAACATTTAACATAGGGATATTGATGCAATAATTGGTTATCATCTGATAAAGATTCAGGGGATTATATAAGCAACCAGCAATAAATCCTTACTACTTCACAGGAAAGCTGTTATTAAATCAAAATGTCTTACTCATAATGTTCCAAAAGATAAAGAAGTTAGGGTAAAGAAGAAGTGCATGCATATAGTCTGAAACAACTCTTCAGAAGAATTTATACCATCTTAGTAGAAACTACAATGCCCATGAACACTAAGAACAGATGGGAACGGAAAGGATATTACTCACAGAAGTTGAAAACAATTATCCTATAACGTCCCATTTAACGTGGGAATAAGGGACCCCCACAATAGCGTCTGGGCCAATACAAACAACACAGGGAAAAATGTTGATATTCCTGTACTAGTATAAAATTAGGGATTGATGCTAGAAAGAGATGCTTTTCTGTTACTATCCACCATTGCAGAATATCCTTTTCTGAGAAATTCAGATGTCCTGACCCTGATGCTTTTTGGAAACTTATCAAAAGGGACCTTTTCTGGAGGGCTTTTAATTAATTAGTATAGTCCCACTGTAATTGTTAATTGCAACTGGGAAGTTGTTTTATGACCATAATGGAGCCTGCCCATCATGATTATAAGTTGTGATGGTTGTAAAGCGAGTCTCCTACATGACTGACCTGATGTTTTGATTTTTGTCGCAGTCAATAAGTGACTACCACGATTGTTAAGCAAACTAATGGTTTATTGTGGACAGGTGTTGCCAAAAGTAGAAATAAATACCATTTTTTGATAAAAACATTGGACACTCAACTATGGGACACTGCAAATGGCCATTAATGCCGGCAGGTTGCTGAGGGCCTGAAATGTGGTCATGTGACTACAGAGGGGGGCATCAGAACCAGGTCATAAATATCCCCTGGGGAGATTCGTGTAACTTCTAATGTTCATTAAATAACCAGTTGTAAGTCAAGGACAACCTGTATATTGTGTTGTGGATTTTTTATTTCTGTAAATTGTCGAGAACGTAAGATTGCACAATCTAAACATTTATTCAGTATACAAATGAGTTTTATCTTGCTTAAACTTTATTAAAGAATCAAAATATGGCAAAACATAAAATGCTATGCACTTATGCTTTAGCTATTAGAAGTCAAGCTTTGTGGAACTATTTTTTTCATCAAAACTGTATAGTAGGGCTACAATAGCACAGTACTACTAAAGGAGGATATATTGGGACAACACTTGAAATTTGTGGGTACTACTGTTAAAATATAATTGTTTGGCACAATGAATAGTGGAGATTCTTTTAGCATAGTTACAAGTATCTCACTTCATGTCTTCAAAAAATATTTAATCTCTGCAAATAGCTAGTCACATATATCAAATTGCATAGGAAGAAAGAATGGAGCTAATAATACAGTTCAGAGGTACCTTATTATAAAGCAGTGCTACCAAAGCATGCTAACAATAACACAGATAGCAATATTATAAATACGGACTTGAACTAATCTGTTCATCCTTCTTTCTCCAACATGGCTTTAAAACAATTGGAAGTTTGCTTTTATGTCTCGAAACTCATAGGGACTGTGGATTATTTTGTATACAGTCTGTGAAACACGGCAGTTTCAAACTAGAAATTATGAAACTGTCTTGTTATAATTAACCATTTAAAATTAACCAAATTAACTGTAACTAATATGAAAAAGAATTTTAAAAAGGAGTGGGACTGTACAGACTGGAGGTATTAGAACAAGCCTCTGCAATCCTCCTGTTTAGTCCATATATTAACATGAATATGAACAGCTTCTGCTATGTGCAAAAAGAACAGATTCTCAAGATCTCAAGGTTCTGTCCATTCTCAAATGGACAGAACCTGGAAATACAATTTAGGGACAGAACATAGTTTAGACTGCTTGTGCTACCTCCTTCTCTCCTTTCTGTCTCAATTCTATATTAAGAAGAAACTACCACAATTAAATTTAAAATACACGCTATAGGCTTCTTATAAACAAATAGTAAATAAAGCCACTTTGGCCTAAGGGGTAATGATTTTATTAGATATATTTTATGATAAACATCTGGATTCTGAAAAGTTATTTTTTGTTAGCTGAAATCATTTACTGTTTGGTGTTTCTCTTTAAATAGATAACTGATAAATCATGAATTTGTTTCAGCAATTATTTTTAATTAGTGTTTGTGTATGTAAATTGCTACAGTATTTAAAATTAGATTTCAGCCATTTTGCTATCATATTGCTATGGCAGCCTCTAATAAGCATAATGAGAATAAATTAATAAATGTTCTAGAGAAGAGAGATTCTAAATGAGAAATAGTCCTGTTGGTGAAATTCATCACTTTCAATATTATCTCCATAAATCTTGTGTATGAAAACTTCAGTTTTAGATAATCGCCAAGCAATTTTGATAGTTGCTGTAAGTGTCAATGCAGTGTGAAAGAGCTTTAAAGCTGAAGAGTTAAGGTGGGACCCAATTTGTCCAACACCCCACCTCTCTAGAGAAGAACCTGTGAACCATGTTGAGTATTACTTGAGACTCAGCTCAATTTAGAAATTGTAGAGAATATTTGTAGTTCGGGTTGTAGGTTTAGGCAGAGATTTGTTCTCCAATTTGCTGCTTGGCTTCTGCATGTTTTGTCACCCAACTAGGTAACATCTTCAACAAGATGTTACCTAGTTGGGTAATGAAACATCTGGGAGCCAAGCAGCAAACTCAGAGGACAAACCTCTGCCTAAACTCAGCTCAGTGCTGGAGCACCGTGGCTGTTCATGAGGAAAGTAGCAACAGAACTGTTTTCATTGTTTCTATTCTGACACTTCATGAGATGTCCAATGGTGGCATCAAACCATCACACTCATCACTTTGAATCTTCCCAAAGAAAGGCCAATGCTTTCTGACCTTGACTAAGGTATTTGGCTTGATCAGAAAAAGGAACTTTTGCTATAGAAAATGTAGTGATCAAAAATAATTGTTTTATAATATTAAAATTCTATTTTCATACTGAAATGCAGAGAAACAGCTACATGCTATTAAATATTAAAGAATAACTTACACATCTCAACCCTTCATTGCTTGATGCCTCTCTATATAGAGAATGTCTTCTATATTAGAATGCTTTATCTTTCTGCAATGGATAAATTACCCCCGTCTTGCTCTATCATACAACCCTACAGAGTACAGTTGGAAATACATTAGTACTTGAGACATAGTAATTCAATTCAAAAAATGTAAGTAAGGGCCCCAAACCCCAGATTAAACAACACTTCTTTTAAGCATTAAAAATATTCTGAGCTTCTCTATAAATAATGCTGGGGACAAAAAAAAATCTTAGCAAAGACCAGCAGGATAACAGGTTATTACCTATCTTTTTTTATATATATATACAAAAAATGGGTGGGTAACTGGGAATGCTAAATATAAGAATTCTTCAAGGAAACTGACTCAACCACTCTAATGCCATCTTCATTAAATGGATTCACTCCTTTAATGTGCTACCCAGTTCCAGATCAGAAAGGAGATAAATTTACTTTCTCTGTGGGTGGATGTTAGCAATTTTTAAGCTGTTATCTAAAGGCATCCCAGGAAGGAGAGTTTTTTTATTAATAATAAACTGATAGGCTGAATCTGGATGAAAAAAACTTATTTAAGCACTGAACTAGTGAAATAACTTTATTTCAGGCAGCCCAGAACATCCCATTTCTTAACCTCAAGAAAAAAATCTACAATACATAAACTATAGATTCATAGAGTTCATGTACTGGTGAAGATCCTGTTTGATACTTGATACGAGAAAATGTTAACATCCATTCAAAACTGGTGTCATAACACCCTAAATTGGGACCCAGAATATAGAGAAAAAAGCAAGTTTATCAATTAATTTAAAATTCACACTGTCAAATGAAATGACAAATGTTGCTCTAGATATTAAATAATGCCAATGTAGGCAGCCATTACAGGCTGTTATACTTGATGTTATTTTTTCCCTTTAAGCCATTTCCTGAATTTGCTGGTAATTCCTTTTGCAGGACTATGGCATCTACTACTGAGAACCAAAATAGCTTGTTCCTAAACGCTAATATATAATATCCGGATGAAAAAGACAGAGATGTATATATTTCTATGACTCTGGCAACAGAACAGCTATGGCAATCACAAACAATACTGAAAGGACTGCAATTAAACAATATTCAAATAAGATTGTTTGTGGAAAAATAAATCTTAAGCTGTATATTTCTTTAAAAAAAATCCGACACAGTATCCCATACAAGTATCTTCTTTTACGCTTCCCTTAAAGTTCTAAACACTTTACAGTTTCCCTGTGTTTTTCTCACCTATTTTCTTTCAACACAGAGAGAAACAGATACACAGATACTGTATATGTTTTGATAACACAAAGAAATCCTGCTTTCAGCTCTTCAACTCTTGAAACATTTCTGGCTGCCAGCCTGCCTTAATAAAGAATCTGCTTACATCAGCAATACATCACAATACCTTTCTACAAGACTTCTCCTATCAAGTGAAGAACAATTAAATGGGACAAAGTGTTTGAAGATCCATTTATTGATTTTATATTCACAATTGAATTTATGATTAATAGCATTACAGGGTTTTTTTTAAAAAAATAAGGTTCTTTAAAATGTAATAACTTAGTAAGCACATAGTAAATTGATTTGGTCAGACAATAGCTATTTACAGTTATAAGACAAATATTTTGGACTGAACCCAGAAAACAATTCACTGCAGGTTTTTCAATTCTATGTTTTAGTTAACTGTCTTGTCACATTTTAAATTAACTGAACTTTTTGATGTATTTCAGGGATAGTCCTCCAGATTCTGTTGCATCATCTAGATATAATTAAGTGTGAACATTAGGATTTCCAAACCTTTGAAGTTTCATTTAAGCTTTGAGTCCGTTAAAGTATTGTACCTCAAACTGGAGGGCTTGAATGACTGTGGTATTTGGGCATGCACAGGTCTCTGAGTAAAGACCAATAAATCAGCTTTCATTTTAGTGCTTTGCAGAGGAAGAGTATCTCATCTCTTTGAGGCACTTTATCACAACAAGGAAAAGTGATACATATCAGGAAAATGGATCAACTGAGATCCTCATGGTCTGAATGAATAACCATTGTCAGATTAGATTAAATCAGTGCTGGTATAATTATGTCTACCCAGATGTTCTTCTTTCCACTATATGAAGATCTGGGAAAGGAGAATCAAATAGATTTTGCAAGCTATAAATCTGATCATTTAGGGGAAGCACAATCTCTTCCAGAAAAGGTTAAGAAACTACATTCCCAGTCTACTAACCTCAATTTATCTAGATTAAATTTCAATTTGTTCCTCCTTATCCAACTCATTATTAAAATCAGATAATATTCCAGAAAAGTTAATGATTCCTAACAAATAGAGCTGAGAATCATCGAGTTCTGGATAATCTCAATGATTTTATGTATATATTACCCAATGTGCAAGAAACAACACTTTAGCCAAGAACGTTAGTACTGAATGATGGTCCCACAGCACCACCTTCTAGAGCAAAGGTCCCCAAACATTTGGGCACCAGGGACCGGTTCCGTGGAGAGAGGTTTTTCCACAGACTGGAGGGAGCGTGGTTTTGTGTGCTGCCTGCATCCCGCGGATGGGGCTTTGCTTGTTTGTGCAGACCGGTTGCTGGCATGCCGCGGCCTGGTACTGGTCCATGGACCAGGGTTGGGGCCCCGTTCTAAAGAACATTTACTATTGTAAAGATGTCTATTTCTGTTATACAGTACAGTATTGCTGAAGCCCAATCTCACAGTTATACTATTATCAAAATAAACAGTACTAAAAGTTTTCAAGAAGTCAAGGAACTGAAAGAAGATCCTCCTCACTAAGTCACGATATAGATTATTCACCAAAATGATCAAAGTAATGAATTGAAACTTAAGGCCTAACTGAAATGCATTTATAATCAAATATACTTCAAACTACAACAGTTTTAATTGAATAAAAGACTATTACTGCTCTTCATATAAGAAGATACATGCTCTTCCAGCCTTTATTTCTCCTATCTCCCTATCTAAAAGTAAAATAATAGCAGATGAGAAATCTTTGAGAAGTGTAATGGTAATGTAGAAATGACTTTGGGGAGGGGCAGTGTAGGTAGATAAGAGGGGGCTTAGCCCGCAGTTGCCTAAAAGAGAAAGAAAAACTTAGAAAGGAACCTCCCTAACTTATCAGGCAATAGAAGAGACCACAGGAGATCTGTATTTTCAGACATGCAAGATTCTGTTAATGTAGCCTTACTATGAAGTAGAATTAGCTCATCTGCTGTGTATCCTGTCTGATCTACCTGGAAAGGCTCAAAGCCAATTGTTCACAGCACACCCATCAAGTCCTCTGATTCCCAAGCTAGTACTCTTTCCATATGTTTCACAGAAATACCAGTATTGTTTTTACATGGGTGATACTTTAACATCTTTCTCCAAAACTAGATGTCATGTTTATAAACAAAATGTTTTAACTGGTCAATGGTGCATCCAAAGCTTTAGATGCAACAGTGGACAGAAAAACTACACCAACCAAATGCATTCTCATGATAGGCTGCAAGTGTTTGAAGTAAAATATGTGGTCATAAAGATACAATTTTTATTTACATATGCATGTCAACTCTGTGTGTGGGGTGTGTATGTGTGTTTGTGACTAACCAAGCCCAGCTTCATTTGAAAGATACATAACTTATTACAGAATTTTAAAAACTAAATTGTATTTTATTTATTTCAATTCATACATTTTTACTTAACATTACTATGTCTAGAAAATAGTGTAAAGAATGAATGATGATCATATTTTTCATATTCAAAGCAATCCATAAAGCCATCCCTCCCAGATACTATATTGGAATGCACTTACAATGAAAGCACAAGGAGAAAAATAACACTGAAGAATTAAAAGAAAAAATACCTTTCAAAAGGTTATTCAAGTCCATAGCTTCATGCAGTACCTTTTGAAGACATTTGTGATCTACCTCAGGTTCTAATGAGAAAAAAGTATAAAGAATTATATTAAGCCTAGTGTTTGTGCCATGTATATGTTTTAATAAGTTCTGCAAACTTACCATATAACTCCTGGCTCACATTTTGTTGTCTTTTAACCTTTAATTTCTTATCATTGGATGCTGCTACTTCAAAAGATTGGATGGGACTGATATCTGGTGTTGACAGAGGAGTTACATCAGTCACTGTATCTTCAGACTCTTCTGTGTGGTCACCCAGTTTTGATTTTATTTCCACTGACTTTATTCCTTGGCTTAACTGTTGTTCTGATGAAAGAAGAGGTGATCTTATGTTTTTCTTTTCTAAAGAACATGATGAGTCCGACAAGCAACCATCAGATCCTGTGTCTGAATAATCTGTATCAGAACTAGATGATGGGGAAGAGGAGGAGGAGGAAGAACTAACATTCCTATTAACCTTTGCACCATTAGGCTGTTTAGAGAACTTATGTCTAACTCTCTGATTTCTGCTATCATCACTACTGTCTTCTTCATCTGTGTAGTAATTTTCTTCACATTCTTTCTTTCTTAGGGGAATTTGCACTGGAATGTTTTCATGAAGGGCTTGTTCATTTTGTGCTGTGATTCTATCAACTGGATCCTCCAGATTTAAAGAAGCTAACAAAGAAAGAGCATTATTTGAATTACGAGCACCACTGCCTAACATATGTTCCTTCTCAGATTCTGCCTGTTTAGATTGCTTTTCTTCCTCAGTACTGTTATCCTCCATCACTTTAGCTTCCTGTTTCAAATGACAATCATCTGTAACTGAACGTTTTATCTGTGCATGCCAAGAACTTTCCATTTTATTTATTTCTGTTGTTGCTCTTTCTTTCTTCACCTCTTCTTCAAAATCACTATCAAAGAAAGAGTGATCCACTTCACGATCAGATATATCTTCATATCGGTCCATACTGAAGTCAATACTGCTTAAGTGTTTTCCCTACAAATAGAAAACTGGAATTATTATACCAATCACTGAAAGAAAAATCTTTTTCTAACCTTTTATTATAGCAAATCTTTCCCCCCAAATACATATTTTAACTTATCCTCTTGAAATAGCAGCAATTACGAGTACAGCTTTATGCAATATTCTATTGTTTCATTTGGTACAATCACATAACCCAAGTTGCTTTAATACTGTTCAATATATATATTGAAAATGTAAGTTTGTGGATTTACTTTTATATCAAGTGAACAACTATGTAATTTAAAATAACATTAATTATAGTATTATTAAAATCCAATAATAATATATGCATTAATTTAGAGATAGAAATAAAAATCATAGGTGGATGATATAAATTCAAAACGTCAGGAGAATGCAAACATTTAAGAAGGCAGGAGACTAGGAAAATAAACAAAGATCTCCTCCCCCAAACATGCTGAAAGGATCAGATCTGTGTGGTACCTTGACATTTTCAGAACTGAAAAGAGGGAATAATTTCATCTAAAAAGTTTGTATGATATCTGCACCCTCTATTATTGACTAATTCATTTAATTTGCCATCTTCATCTGATACAATGTATAGGTTTTTCCATTCCTTTTTTCATTCTCTCCTTTTTTGTACCACCTAGCCTGGCAAGCTCCTTGTCTAGTCCTAGTAAAAATAATGCCCAACTATGGCTGTTATAGTAAAAGAGTATAATACCACATCAAGGAAAAGAAGCTTTTATTATAGTACTTGTGTTCCATTACAGTGCAATAAAAATGGACATCTGTTCTCCATTTACAATAATATACCTCCAATTGATATTTTAGTTGGAGTATTAGCATCCTTTAGACATTTTATTGATTAGTTCCAAAAAGATTGCTCAGTTGAATAAAATACTTTTATAACGTAACAGGATTTTTCAAGACTTTGTTGAAGCAGCCTCTCACCAATGGAAACTTATGGTCACAATAAAATAGACAGCCTTTGACATATCAGTGTGCCTCCTGTCAATCCAATTTGCATGTTAAGCAGTTCACACTGGAAGATTACCTGAACCCTTTGCTATAGCTTCATTGAGTCAGTGATATTTGAAGGAGGCTTCACATTAATTCATTAATTGCTATGCCAGGCAATAATAAATCATGCTTCTCTAGTTCAGTTGCTATGACATTGCTGTGAGCTGAGCTGCTGTTATCTTTTTTCAAGACAGGGATATTAGTCATGACACTAAACTCAGAATATATGTTTAATATATTCAGGAATAGGCCAGAGATTATTTCTGGATATTGACACTAGTTTGCCAAAAGCTTGTTCCCTTCTCAATTGTTTATAATAGCAACAACAAACAATCTTGTACTGGGCTCAAGACTCTTAATCAACAGTAACTCAGATACAGATTTTCATCCATGCAAGTCATCCCAGGGCATGCCTGGCCCAGGGAGTACCTGGATCCCCCCCCAATAATTGTTTTGTATACAATTCTATTGATTGTACTAAGAAAAACACTATTAAATTATCCCTAATTACACCCTAGTTAATTTCTATTTAACCTAATACATTCTCTACTTCTCCAAGAACTCTTTTTTAGATTATTTGTCTATATTTAACAACACATTTTTGTAATCCTTTCCACACAGACACTACTTACCATAACAAAATGGCTGTTGCTCCTAATATTTATTCCGTTTGCAGGATCTGCTTGTTTTTCCCCTGCATTCACTTAGTAACTACAGCAAAGCTGATCAATGCTTGTGACATGGGGGGGGGAGTGTATTGCCTTTTTCAAACAGGGCTTGTTGTGGGGCTTTGAGTGACCAGGGTTAAGAGGAAATGACTAGGCCTTTAAAATAACCCTAATAAATAGCATATTGAAATAAAAATAATAAAAAAGAATGATTAGGGCTGAGAATGACTAGTTATAGGTGATCCTGCTGCCTTGCATGCTTAAATAAAGATAGAATCAGGACGTCAGACCTTAAACAATACACTATTTGGCTACTCTACTATAGATAACAAGTTTCCAAATATGCATACATGATGCTTCCTACATGTTTCTATTATTCTTCGGAAGTACAGCTTTTTATCGAGCTGTATGGCGTATATAGGCATAGATGGATTTTTTTAAATTGGTTTTAAAGTATAGTATATCCTCCCCTATCATTTAGCATTACCAATTCAGCCATGAACTCTATTATTTTATTATGAAATACCGAATATTTTCAAGTGGGAAGATGAAGTTTCTTTCTTATCCCCCATAGGTATCCACAAAGTTTGATTTAAAAACAATAAGATGGCAACTATGCAGGTACAATTAAACCCCACTGGGTTTTTTTTTAGGTATATTGCAATGCACATAAAAACAGGCTTTTTTTTTTTACTTTATCATGTTTGCCGTCGTACCTTTTTAACCATATTCTGCAGACACCTATGCATTCCACATATTTTGATAATTTAAAATTTAAAGAATTTGAAATTAAAATATAATTAGATATCATTACAAAACACTGCATATGCCTGTGCTAATACAACACCTACACAATCCTATATAAAATGTTATTTCTCTGTCTCCTTGGAAATGCAACAGAGAAGTAATTGCATTTAAAATTAAATTTGCACCTTACGATAACTGCTGTGTAGGATTGTTGAAGTAAGGGAGGAAGGCTATATTTTACAACTGTTTTAACATATGTATAGGAGATACTAGCACAATTGCAGTTGTCATGACAAATTTAGTTAATATTTAGCATGCAGTCAATCTGACCCAGAGTTAAGGAATGATACAGACAGCGATTCTCAAAATGTGGTCTGGGGACCCCTGAGATTCTTCCAGGAGATCTATGGAGACAAGTATTTTAAAATCTTTGTTTTAATTTCTAATTCAGTAAATATTGATAGATACAACCCACATAAACCAAAGCTCTTTGGGGCCCCCTCAATCATTGTTAATAATGCAAATGGGTACCGACACTAATATGCTTGAGAACTTCTGATAGAGATAAATGGCAATTTTTCATCTGTCTGGCAAGTCTTCTTTCAGCACTGTTATAGCCCATTATTTCAGGTTTAAAAAAAAGAGTAATAAAGTTCGTGTTTAAATCTTTGCTAAAATTTTGCTTATGACCCATGCTTCACAACCCACCCTGTGTAGGAGACTTCATTGCTCAGAAACAGCTTTCTCTAACACATATTGCTTTGCTAGGGCAGAACTATCATTTCTGTTGTTTTAACCTCTTTAAAACAAGACACAAGGGAGATAAACCACTTTGACCCTTTGGGGAAAGGATCACAACAAGCCAACAGGCAATTTCACTCTCTCAGAAAGTGAGGAGAGGAAGGAAAACATTTGTCCCTAATATATTTTTCCTTCCATCCAGTTTTTTCTTGCAAGAAGCTATAGTATATGGTCTAAAGCACGGTACTGGCTGAGGAATTCTGGGAGTTGAAGTCCACAAGTCTTAAAGTTGCCAAGGCTGAAAACCCCTGGTTTAAGGAATTAAAAATGATATGCATCTTGAAATGGTAATCAGTTTGCTCTACTCCCATGATCTACAAATACCTAGAAGAGATCTCACTTAGAATTGGCAAACTGCTTATTTTTGCATTTAATTCATGCACAGCATTAGAACATGATTTGCACTGTATTAAATAAAATATAATTGCCTGCGGTAGCAGAATTAATTTAGCTTAGGCAAAACCCGCCTTATTTTTAGCACGTTGCAAAATCGAGTCATCTTCTGCAGCCCCGAAATACACGCCTTCGAAGAAAACACCCGACGCGAGAGCTTTTCCTCAGTGTGTCCTTACAATTAGCTGGATAAACTTCCGATTTCTTACGGACAGAGAGGCAAGTTTGCGGCTCCATTTGGAACGATTAGTCGTAACCCCGCCACTAACAAGTCGGATACTCACCGAGCCTCAGCCTCTTCCGCGGTTTCGCCAAAACACCTGACGGCCCCCACATCTGTTCTAAGACCGAGTATAATGCATGTTGGTTGCAAGTTGCACGTGTAAAAAAACTTACAAATAAATTAAAAATATAGCTCTTGCTAGCTCGGATAACTAAGCCATAAGATACCAGCCACGTGCAACAGATTTGCTGCACTCAGAATGGCTATTTACCGAGGCACAGCCCCTCGGGGCAAAGGGGCGGAATGCCACCCACTCTTCTCCGGTACTTCGCTAAACGCGCTGTCCCTCCATTCCGAAATGGTGATGCGCCCGCATCGATTCACCTTCGCGGAGGGGCGATTGGCCTCTAACCTAGCCACGAGGCCGAAGCAAGGCTCTGCCCGGGGATGGGCTGGATACTCACCCGCAGCCGGCAAAAAGGAAGGCGCTTTGCGCGCTCGCTCCGCAATTCTCCAGTCTCCCGCAAGCGAGTCCGGACTCTCCCTCCCGCGCTGTGTTTGCGTAACCAGGAAAGGGAGGGATAGAAGAGATGGAAACAAACATTTCCGTCTCCGCGTTGGCGCGCCCAGGTTCCCTTTTCGAGCAGCAGGGGGAAACGCGGAGTCCCGGTCGCTGGAGCTAAGGCGAAGCGGGTTCGCCGGCTAAACGAGCCAGTATCAGATGTTTGACGCAGCCTTAGAAATCTTCGCAAATAACCTTTGTAAATATATGGTTTTCTAAAGCATGTGATCCCCTTAATGTCAAATTGTATTGTGTTGCTTGGTATTTTCCCAAACAAATTAAGTTCAGCTGAACAGGCAGCTTTAAAAGCGTTTCAGAGATCGGATTAAAACACTTTAAAATGGTGTTTTTCAAAATTGGTAACACGCTAGGCGCAATGTTTCTCAACCTTGACAATTTTAAGGCATGTGGACTTCAACTCCCAGAATTCCACAGCCAGCAATGCTGGCTGTGGAATTCTGGGAGTTGAAGTCCACATGCCTTAAAATTGTCAAGGTTGAGAAACACTGTGCTAGGGAATGCTGATTCTGGGAATTGAAGACCACAGACACCTTAAAAGTTGCCAAGCTTGAAAAATACTGCTTTAAACACTTTGGCACCAGCTAAAATAGAATTATTTTCTTCATAAGTTGAGCGCCAGAACTATATACAGCCACCAGGGTTTGCAAATAGTGTTGTGAAAATCCAAATGATACCTACTTGGTATATACTACCCAAAATGAATAATGGTTTGCTTTGTTGCGTGAGCAAATTTGCAGATATCTGTGTTATGATACTGTCATTAGATGTATTTACTTCTCGGTCGGTTTCACTGGATGGCGAACCGTAACCTGAGAAAACATTACTCAATTACTAGGTAACCGAAGATGTTACCTAGTCTGGTAATGAAACAACAATCAAGCTGAGAGAGTATCGAGGACTCCACTGAAAAAAACATTTCTTGGAGCGTGGTAGGACAGGCATTAGCCATGTGCCTCATTGCAGGTAGCTATTCTGCAACTGCACGTCTACTTGGGCTAAGGATTGTTGCACTAATGCAGGGGTCTTCAAACTTGGCCCTTTTTATGATTTGTGGACTTCAACTCCCAGAATTCCTCAGCCAGCGTGCCTGGCTGAGGAATTCTGGGAGTTGAAGTCCACAAGTCATGGGCCAAGTTTGAAGACCCCCGCACTAATGAGTAAGGCTGGATTGTGCAACAGAAGAGTGTAGAAAATAGCCTATTACAATGACCCACCCACCCCTCGTACTTGGAGGCGCGTAGCGAAGAAACAGCCCCGCAAATCACTCGCTATCGAAACGGCGACCAAGAACAGAGTCAGTGAAGGGTCGGAACGACACTAGTTCCTCGGGCCAAAAAACTCTTCGTTTTTTGGCCAATCGCCATAGTCCCCAAGAGTTGGAACCGTTGAAATTCTGAACACCTGAAGTTGAGGGTCTTAAGGAGTCGGTCGAAACGACCGACTCCTTAAGACCCTCAACTTCAGGTGTTCAGAATTTCAACGGTTCCAACTCTTGGGGACTACCTACATTGATAGTCGGTTTGGAAGTAAAGGAAGGAAGGCGGTCCTGCTCGCTGCTTTTATGCGACTGGTTCCGCCTTGCTTAGCCGGCGCACGTGGCTGGGTTTCCGGCCGCGCTGCCATTCAGGCCCTTCCCCCTCCCTACTGCTCCTCCCCGTCTGCAAACCTAGCCAGTGGGGCCTCGGCTGCCTCCGAGGTGAGTCTCGCGGAGCTGGACTCTGTGGTTGGTGTCAGGAGCGGAGGGAAAGAGGCGGGGACGCTTCCTTCGCTCCTCTCGGGCATGAGCAGCGCCGGCTTCTGCGCGCCCAGCGACTTGAGCCGGAGGTTGAGGAAAATCCCCCTCAACGGGGGAACCGAAAGCTTCCGAAGAGGGCCCCGGCGCGGGAGATGTGCTGCTTTCCGGCGGCTCCTAGAGCAGCATGTTCCCCGATACTGGCGCTAACACCTCCTCTGGCAGGGGCAGCGGGCAGGTGGAATCCGCAGGCGCCGCGGTCGGCTCCGGCGCCTCTGGAGCCCCAAGTCCCGGGCGCGGGGAATCCTGCAAGAAGAGTAGCAGCGTCCCGGCCGAAGGCGACGGCGAAGAGGACGAAGAAGAGGCGGCGGCGGCGGCGGCGGCGAAGGCTCCCATCCTGTGGAGCCGCTCCATGCTGGCCACCGGACTGGGGATGGTGGGGTTGGCCGTCTTCCTCTTCCATCTGGGGCAGCAGAAGGCGCCGCCGGAGAAGGAGGAGGAGGTCGGCGGACAGCTGTACGTGGCCTGGCTCCTGCTCCGGCTTGTCCTGTACCTGGTTTGTGCTGCCGGCGCCTTCTTACTCGGTTTATTGCTGGCTTTGGGGGGCCAAAGTCGCGGCCGCCTCCGACCCCCGCCGGGTTTCCTCGCCGCCTGGAAGCGCCGTTACCTGGGAAGAGCGAGCGCGGCGTCGTTCTGGCGAGCTGCCGGGGTAAGCGATTGCCTTTCACTGACCGGTTGTTTTTGCTTCTCAGCCCCGGCACTTTTCGACTCGAGGCTGGTGGTTTCCCCCCCCCCCCTTTGGAAACAGGGCTGAGTTTAAGCCGGGAAGCATCTTGGCTCAGCCCTCTTTTGGATCCAAGTGCCTTGAATCTCTGAAACAAGCGAGCTCTCACCACAGACCTCCCATCTGCTACCTGTCCTCTGCCTTGGGGATTAGAGGCCTTCAGGTATTCTGGGCTTTCGGTAAATCACTGTTGCCTGACATTAAAGCTCCCTTGCACTTGTTACAGAGGGTCGAGAAAAATGGGAAGAGGGGATGTGAGTGGGTGGGTGTGCGACTTTCACTTTCCCTCTTTGGAAAAATGTTACTTTGGAAAAGTTGAGCTTTCTGACACCTGGGTGTGACTGGGAAGTCAGTGCATTTTTGGAGCACAGTCCTTCACGGTACATAGCCCTTGCTTAGGGACCACAATTGGGATGGCAATTCGGTTGTTAAATGAAGCAGTTGCTAAGTGAAACTGCAACTGTGCTTATCTTGTTTCAGCTTTCCTTTGCTTTACAAAGGGGGTGTAGGCTGTAAATGTGAGAACTGATCATAAAGTGCATTTTTCATCAGTGTCATAACTGAATGGTTACTAAATGAGGCAGTTGCTAAAGGAGGACTTAACCTGCAGGATTAAGATGGGTCACATTGCTAGCATGACCAGATGTTTGATTACTGCTGGGTCATAAATAAAAACAAACACTGCAAACCCATTGAAAAACCTTGAGTTTGCAATTTGAGAATTGCATACCTTTAATTTAAACAGATTCTGTGTGCCTCTGCATAACAGCTAACTTACAAACTTGTAGAACTCTTTGTATTGTTTTAGCTCTTCAGTCTGGAACAAATGGTGAAAAGAAGCAATGAAGTAGTAATTTTTTAGCACATTGACAAACAACATGTGGGCATGTTTTTTCTTAACCACTCAATGCCTGTGACCTGAAAATTTAAAATCTTTTGGGCAATAAAGTGCTCTTTATCTTTTAATTTCTATAGCATTTTTGTAGAAATACATATGCAGCCTAGAATATTGAAACAGTTGAGAACAAAAAAGTTTTTAAAAAACCCTTCAAAGTGTTGCAGGAGAAGCAAAACAATCCACATTAGCTCAAAGCCTGAGGAAAAGAATAGGTTGTTAACAGTTTGAATGAGGGAAAGTAGAGGGTTAGTATACAGAAGTTTGTAGGTATGCTGTGCCAGAGTCAGGTCTGCCATAGAGATTCAGATTTTATTGATTAAATGTGCTTTGAGTTATTTTAAGCTAGCATCTAAGTGGATGAATTACCATAAGATCATAGAGAGTTTGCCATAGGTTCAGCCCAGCCCTGTGCAGGAACAAGGGCATCCCAAATTCTAAATCCATTGAATGAACAGTTCTATATTGAAACAAATGTAATTTGTTTACTTAGAAATAGTTTTAAAATTTGGATCCTTCTAGTTCTGAATTGCAAGTAAAATTAATTTGAGAATGTTTTTGTAGTAAAGTCAACTTATTTTGGACATACAGGATACTATGGTACAAATGGATTGCTTGATAATATATTATCACTATTATTGGGAAAAAAAAGCTACTGGGGTATGGCAATTAGAGTGTTGGATTTTGATTAAGCAAACCTAGCTACAGTTCTCTTTTAGCCATGGAGTTAGCTGGATGTTCCTGGCTAGTTTTCTCACAATATTTCCCACAGCTAGCAAAGTAGTTGTTGTGGGGATAATTTGAAGAGGAAGGTTTGAAGACAGCAAAGTCCACATTTTGGACAGAGAGGACCGCTGGTTTGAAAGAAGGATCAAAGAGGCCATCAATGTCAAAATTGAACAACCCTCTTTCAACAGAGGGGAAGGAATATGACATTTATCTCCAGTCTACAACACAGTCCTTTCAGCAGTTCCAAGAAGGCTGCACACCCATTTGCACTAAGGTGACCCCGAGGAAACAGATAAATCTCCAAGTGGCCTCAATGACTCTTTAAAAGAATGCAAATGACCAGCTGTCTGCAAGGAATATAAATCCTTCCATTCCCGACCATCCAGTCAGAGCTGAAGAAGCTTCTTGGATGAGCTTAACATCTTCAAAGAAAAAGTCCAGTTGACCCTTGAAGAAGCATCTTTGGGACAATCATGACCTGGATGGCTGAGAATCTCCATAGACAGATTCCATATATTCTATTTTGAGATTAAATTTTCCTCAGATTGAAGTTGATTCTTGGTGACTTTATGGGCAACTGTGGAAGTGGTTTTACATTGCCTTTTTCTAGAATATTTTTCAGCTTTGGGAAAGCTTAGAGCTCAAGAGCTCTCTAAAAGTCTCTAATCCAAGTCCTAGCCAGGTACAAATCTACTTACTTAAACTCTCATCAGTTACTTCCTTTATGCATCTTGATGTGTAATCTTTTTGTTATGGTTTTGATTACATGTACCCAGGATCAGAATGATTATGGTTTTGTTGAGCGCCAACATTTTGTACATTTTATATAGAAATTAAATCTGAAGAAA